AACTCTCTGCTATTGGTTCATCGGATTCAAGTGGTTCTTCGGTATAGTATTTGTGAAAATTTGTGAATACTACCGCGTCATTTTTTTCCGTATATAATTTATTTCTGCGGCACTTGGTGTGCATTTTATTCTCCGTTTTTCTCTTCGTCTTGCCTGTGGAGCAACAATCATCAGTGTCAAGATCATCGTTTACCTCATATGTAGTCGTATTTTTTGAGACAATCTTTCGATGTTTCCGCGCAATATGGTCTTCCGCGCTCAAATATTAATGAATAACTATGCTTATACTCTTCCAAGCAATATTAGATTTTTGATGTTCCCTGTAATTGCCGTTTGGAAAGCGTTGAACAAAATAGTTATCGAATAATTCCATATCCCGCTTTCTCCACATTTCAAATGCTTTCACAATTTCAAAACAACCTATGTATCCAAAACAGACAATTTAGTGGGTCATCAGTACTCTAAGACCCCTATGTGATGGTGGAGGGGATGTAGTAACGTGGTAAGAGGTAACATGTGACCGCTTATGCGCCATTTATGAGAGGGTACCGCTACCATGCGTGCTCCTCATTTTCGTATCTGGTAGGTCCGAACTGCTTAACAATTTCGATGTCTCGAGAAGAATGAGGCTGCTGTATAAAAACATGGATTCACTTACAGACTACTTTAACATTTCGAAGTTTCACCCAAGTGCCATATATTATGTACCTGTAAAACAATTTGTTGGTCAGGGAAAAAAGGTCTAAATTCTAGATCGAAATTTTTTAAACACGAATTTCTCAGACAATTTCTCGGATTTGACTTCTCAAATAAAAAAATTTAATTATAAAAATTTTCAGTAGAATAATTTCTCCGACCACAAACTCTCCTCTCTCCAAATTTTCATAAAGAAAAAAAAATCGGAAAATCAGTTACTGCTAAAATGTAAGAACGGAACGGTGGACGAGTTTATAAGGTGGAGACCTACGGAGCGAAAGGTCTCGTGTTGAAACACTGGTTTAAACTTTTTACTGAAAAAAATCATTCTGATAACCAGATTTTACATCAATCTCGGTCTGAATTATTCCTTTTTTCAGTAAAATTTTTTTTTATGCTTAGAAGAGGAGCAGTTTCTATAGGCTTCGGCCTCTTGTGACGTTACAGAAAATTGTTGCACAGAATTTTAATTTAGGTTGGATTAGGAAGGGAAACAGGATAATTTTATAAGCAAAATTTCCCGTAAACATGGATAGTCTAGATCGGGATGTCTAGATAGGCTGCTCACCCAACTGAACTGTCTGGCTTTTAGTCACTTTTCATTTCAAATTTCTTGTACATATCGAAGCGCGCGAAACCTGATGGCAATCTGAGATATTTATATCAATTATTTGGTGAGTGGTACCATTTGTATTATGATGAGCGAGATAGCTTTGCAGGGCTCCATATCGAGTGCCATCGTACTAGAAACTGTATTATATCTAAGAAAACAATGATTATACCTGTACTCTTATACCTGTGAATAACTCAAAGCTTATATGCCACTCAACGCCTGTGACTCATCATTTTCTATAAATTAAAGAATAAAAGTCATCCATGATTCTTGTATTATTCATTCACAAAGCCTCTAGACATATTTTATCTGGATAGGGATTTTGAAAAAATATTTTTAACATTTTTCTCAACAGTATTCAACCTTTAGAAAATCATTATTCACAGGCATTGTGTTTAGAACTTAAGCCTATTTTTCCACAATATACGAGCTTTAAGGAAACTGGAACTGTGCTTAAAATGGAAGTTTATTGTCCAACAATACGCCACTTTTAAGGAAATCGTGACAAATGTGGGACTTCATAATTTAAAGTCAATTTCCTATGTCAGGGTCAGGGGGTAAAGGTGTCCAGACACGCTTCAACGCCATAGTCTCGAAGTAGGTAGGAGGGGAAATACGTCGGCACCCGCACGTGCATTTGCTGATCAAGAGGGGGGAGAGAACGTTGGAAATTCCTCAATCTCGGCCACTTACTACTAACCCGATCAGAAAAGATTCTTCACCCGTTCCTCTAAGCTGCCTACACTAGAGGGTCTAATGTGAATTTCCCAACCTTCCTTCCAGGTCCCTTCTAAACGAGTCTCAGTCGGTGGTGTTCGGATTCTTTCCGGTATGTTTCTGTTCCATCCTCGCACTCCCTCTGACATCAAACTTGATCGGTCGATAAACAGGGAGTGCGACTTCACTGTCCTCCCCCCTGTCAACACAACGTTGTGCCATCCTGTGATTGCACAATCTGATGTCAATGACGCACTGGTATCGCGAGACGTGAGAGCGGTGAGACGTGAGACTGTATTCCTTATTCACGATCTCTATATTCGCGTTTGTCAGATGTTTCAGAAGCTCACATAATCAGCTAACCAGCTGCAACTGTTTGTTGGGTGGCAGCGTGGTTAAGGCAAATAAGCCGAGCAGAAGACGGTTTCCTCGTTAGGTCCTTGCCCCCGAAGCCTGATCTTTACCTCCACCAGGTCTCTGTGACAGAAGTTTGCCATTCGCCTGACCCCTCATGCTCTCTTAACCGAGATGGATGTTCTGGGTCCCAGTTCATCCTGAGTAATAAATCCCTCTGCTGTACTTACGTCGGAGCTTCTGACAGAGTCCCCATAAGAGCAGAACTCCTGAATGAGGCATATATCTGTTTGCCCTTTTGTGTGGCTGCGGCCCAGTAGGGCAGTCGCAGCCTTGCAGTGTTGCAAGTTAATCTGCGAGCAACAGGTAAGCGCTGGAGTTACGCCGCCCCCCTAATTCGGTGTCTTCTACTGCAGGATGTCTATGCCTTTGGAGCTTCTGATTTTGTTTGCAGTTGAGGCTACCCCCGTATTTCCCTCCAAGCCAGTGATTCCGTCAATTAATAGAGCCCCCTCAAAGACCATTGGCTTCGTTGGTGCGCTCCCGTTGCTGGTGCTTGACTTATAGAGTCAAATAATTCATGGAGTTGATATAGAGATCGGAATTTGAATAATCAGAATTCAATAAGTTGTGACCTTGGCCGGTGAATAGAATGAAATAATTCCCAGCGAGGGCCACGATAATTTATATTAATTGAAAGAACAGGAGAAAAACTCTTGGTATTAAGGGAGGGCCTGAAATGAGAGAAAAGAAGGGCATAGGGGAAAATGATTCACTCGGATGAATAGGTCTTAACAAGATCTATTTCTCTATGATCAGTGAATACAAAAAAAATACAGACGAAAACCAACAAAAGTGCGTTATCCCGGCCTTTTAAGACTAACCTAGGGAAAGGTTCCCCCTTGCCAGCCAACTTGCGGCAACACGGCTAATATAATAGACATACTGAAATGTAGAGAAAAGAAAAAAGAAGAAAAAAAAGGGGAAGACTCGAGTATTACTACGTAAAAAAAAAGAAGGGGAGAAGTTAGGAGACCGATAATAATTAATTAATAGGGGGAATTCGTCGGCGACACTTAATTATACGATTCTGATGATCACAAAAAAAATGACAACATCAATTTACAGAGAGGCTCACCGTTGGGGGGAAATGGATACACGGGGCAGGGTAATATCGTTAGGATCGGGTGATAGCGTGAGGGTAGTCACGATGATGGCGGCCACACGATTCAGCAACTCCTTCCACGAAGTACTTATTCCTCCCTGTCTGTTTGTCCTCCTCCAATTCTTCTCCTCGCCTTTCTCCTTCCTTTCGTCTTCACTTCTGGGTCCTTTCACTAAATCCTCCACACTTCTCTTCACCGTCTCTCCAACACTTTTACCTCCACACTCTCTCAATTATCCTTTCAAAACTATCTCAATTCTTTTTATAAACCACGCGGCAAATCCGGGGGCAGCTGTATGTCGAGTGATGGCTGCCAATCAGCCTCGCTTCTTCTTCCCCGATTATCATCGATAATCGGGGTTAATCGGGGACACTCGTCATTAAGTGTCCTCGTCTTTATTATTCATTCCGGGTGGCTCGTTCAAGGATGTTCCTTTTTTTCCGGGTCACGTGGGCAGTGACGTCGAGATGGGGCGGGTTTGGCTTCTTCCGTCGCATTGCATGTGACGACGAGAGGACTGGCGGGGGGGGGGGGGGTTCTCTTTGTCGCCGGCGATGTCTCTGCTGGTTGTGAGTATAATGGTGAGGGAAGCACGGGGCAAAGGGAAGGAATATTTTGGGAGTGGGAGCCAACGGTGACAGGTTTCCTAACCTGCTTCCGTATTGTTCCTTAATCCTAATTATTCTAACTTATCCTAAGGACAAAATAAAATGTATAAATTAGGGGGCTGGGGAGGGGTTAAAAAAGTGCCTCGTTACAAAGTATAGTTTATTATTATCACTATTATGTTATATTGTTATTAAATAATATAATCAATTATATTATAAAGGCCATATAATAATTGTTAATAGTAATAGTAATAATGATCGATATTTTTTAAATAATACTATTATTATAATATCGTTTTCGTCATTGTACTCTTGGCTAAAGCTCGCCGGCGACGCTTGCCCTCAGCCCTGACCCGAGGTTGGCTTTGAAGCTCTGGCAGCCGGACCATTTTGGAAGCACTGACATATTGTATCTCGGATAGACATTCAAAGAAATTACTTTCGAAATTTTTCAGTCTCACCACGGCAACTGAAAAATTATTTGTCCAAATATTTCTAATAATCGTATTCATGCGCTATCTAGAGTAGATTCATTTCATGAGATGAAGATAAATTATATTCGTGAGAGGAGGTTTCTTCGAGAAGACAAAAAAAGTATCTTTAAGATTCGAAGAACGCAACGATTGTGGAATTAAATATTATTTCAATTTTAGGGATTGCGCTAAATGATTTTTTTTTTTTTAATTTTTTTGCCCTGCCTCGTTACTTTGGTTTGTTCCATGCCCCACTATGTATGAATAAAAATTAAACTCATTTATTTTGTATGTTATTGTAACTCATTGTAACCTCTGATCATACAATCATTCAATCCTGTATCATTTAAAATTTATCGTTTATGTATTTCAGTGCATTCAAATTGTCGAGAGAGTGCAGAAACTCAATCTCTCCCGAGAAGAATTTTACGTCCTGAAGGCTTTAATTCTGACAAACAGTGACATAAGACTAGATGAGCCACAGTCGCTCTACCGTCTTCGTGATTCCATTCTCAATTCCTTATCAGACTGTGTGGCAGCCGTGAGACCAGGACAAACGATGCGTGCGACCCAGAATATGTTTTTAGTAATGCCAAGTCTTCGTCAAGCAGACGGCATTGTTCGTAGATTCTGGTCGAGTGTTTACAGAACCGGTAAAGTGCCCATGAATAAGTTATTTGTCGAAATGTTGGAGGCTGCTAGCTATCGATGAAACAAGTCCAGCTCGATTCATCTCGATACACAAGTACTCAACGTCATCGATACGCGGGTCATGCGATTAAAGTTGGAGTAAGGTGCTGATATAATTATTTTTCAATAAATTAAAAAAATGTCATTTACTGAGGGAACTTGGAAAGATTGATGCTTTTACCCTTTTTTATTATGACTTCGAGGGACAACTATAATTTTATTGGAAATTACAGACATGTAGATGCAAAAGAAAAAAAAAAGTTTGTTATGATTGATTTCTGAATTGAAAAATCATGAAGCCTTTCCAACATTTTTCTAAATATAAATTCTACAAATGAATAAAATGCAAGCATGGTAATGTTTTATGTCATTAAGGCATGGTTGCATTATTTTTCGAATGGTCAGTAAATTGTCTTTTTGCATTTTACACATCAGGACAATACAATGTGATCCTATATCATGCGGGAATCTTCAAAAAAACTACGGATATCCATTCAAAAAGACTAGATAGAAAGGTCAATGTTTTGAAAAAATCTCTTTGACAATTATTGTAATATCATTCCAGATAGTTCCGCATCAACCATCATGGTAGAAGAAGTCTACTTTCCTAAATCCTTTGGTGTACGGAAAACTTTTACGTCAAGCCGTAGAGAAGTCAAGTTTTCAGCAGGTTGTTCAAAACTCGATTTCACATTCATTGAAAACGAATTTTATGCTCTTGTTCTCTACTGTACTAACGCAAAAAAATGGTTCCGTACAAATTTTTTTTTTATTTATTAATTTTTTTTGTTTCTTTCTCATTATAGGACAATTATGACTGACATGCATTAACTGTGATCGACGAATTGATAAAAACAAAAATTACGACACCAGTGAGTGGAACAGCAGTTCTGAGAACCACTGTAATTTGCATTAGAGTCTTACACTGGGACTTTTTAACGGTCCGTAATTAAAATGTGAAAAAAAACCGCATCAATATCTTGAAGCTTTCATGTGAATTTTGTCAATTGTTCCAGGCCATTTTGCCATTGCTTAATGTTTTATTAAGAAGCTCTATGTTGTTTCTTTACGTACAGTATTGGCCACCGTAAAGTACGCCGAACTTCTCTTTCTTGACATTATTCCTTAACGATAACTAAGAAAGGCCCTTTAAAATATTATAAAATTAAAAACAAAGTATCAAGCAAAAAGGATCGGTGAAAAATTTGTTTTAATTGCTGATTGGATAACAGTTACCATGAACTTCATTATATGAAATTTTTATGTACAAAATTAAGGATTAAGTGGGCGACTTTTTGGGTATTAAAGAAGCTATTGAGAAAACAAAAACCAGAAGAATAAAGAAAAGAGAAAGTTTTAAAAAATACGTAGAACATTTTTATCTTATAGAGGCTGTGAAATTCGGATCGGCCTAAGATAAGCTGGGGTTATTGTAAGCTTCAAACGTCTCAAAAACTCACAGCACCCGATCAAACAATGATCGTAACGCGTTTAAGTTATCGGAATCAACTTGCTGACAAGCAAGCTAAACGACTTGATGCACCAAAGAAACTTAGTCAAACAGCAAGCAAGGCCAAATATGGGTCACGACGAAGCAAGATATGTGCCAGAAATACCAGGAGGAATTCTTCCTGAGCAATAGAAGACAAAAACGTCCTCCTTTTTCTTCTCGTTTTTGTTTTCTCAGTATCATCTTTAATGACTGAAATATTGCCCACTTAATCCATAATTTTGTAAATACAAATTTCATACAATGACGACAATTATGTTGGTTGGTATCCAATCGGCAATTAAGAAAAAAATTTTCACTGGTCCATTTAGCCCCGCGGTCCACATTGTGCCGTCGCTCCATTTTGCCTCACCCTCATATTTTCTGCGCATGCCTATATCATCACATTGTGATCTTTAGATAAAAAAAAACGATCGAGAGAACGTTCAAGTAATAATCTAACCGTGTCTTAAAGTTAGATTCATGTTATGAAGGTCAGCGGATTTTCGAAAGAGAATATAGAAATACAGTTTTCGTAATGAGCATTAGACAAAAAAACATTATTTTCTCCTTGAACCATCAACATTTTTTTATTCAATCTCAAAACGTATTGGTTTAAAGGACTGAAACCAACAATTATTGAAATGTTTCGCTATCCGCAAAATCCTCGTTTGTTAATAGCTCGTGTATGAGTGATCATATAAAAAAATGTCCAAATCTTTTCCAATCGCCTACAGAATTGATTCCAAGCATAAAATATGATTTTAGATTCCATAACTCCCCGGACATTTTAGTTAAAACTTAGTTGTTTAGAAATTAACATTTATAATCTCACGAAAATGTCGAAATTATCAACTATAATTATTATTATAAGAAAAGAAATAATCCCCCACATAAGATATTTCCGTCAAGGTTACCTGAAAAAAACGGACTTGTCAAGTTTTCCAGAAAAATCACTCACGCTTAGTGCTCGTGACTGCTTAAGGTTGTTTTGCATGTATTGGCGAAGATATAAGAATTGCTTGTAATTCTGGCATAATATTGTTGAACTGGTAACAGATGCCTGCATAAAATTTGAGACTGACTCACAACATCGTTTTGTGGTTATTAATTATTCAAGTTTTCAATTAACACGGCCTCTTATGGGGAAAATGAAAATTTCTGTAAATATAGTCCAAATTATAAAATTTTATTGGAATTTCGAAAATTTACTATTGAAGCAGATGTAAAACTATGGTAAAAATTTCATGACTATTGACTAAAATTTTATTAAATTAATATGTTTAAACAATATAATATTTATTCATAAAATCGAATGCAATCTAATAATTTGCTATGGCTATTACTGAAACTTAGTAACGCATTGAAATATTAATTCAACATTAATTGCGATAATTGTAACGAATTATAGAAAGGGTGACAAACTTTTATTTGGACTATATGTGCAGAACATCCTTAACCTGGGAAACTTGACACGTTCATTTGTTTGCAACAAACCTATCGGGAAATATCCGATTAATTTCGAAATTCTAGTTGTATTTGGTGGATCATTTTTTTGGTTCAAATTTCAGCCGATAGAATTGTACCATGATACGAAGTCTGTATTCCAGAAATGAGACAACATATATGAAAAACATAAAATCGTTCAATTTGTTTATTTCCCACTCGGAGCTTCAACCAATCGAAACGGTGTATTTGATCGAGTTGAGGAACAACGCAATTTATTTAGTACTTTGAGGAAGATTTTTACAAATTTGTTACATAATAGTTTACAAGAAATTCTCCCCAAATGGATTCATTTTTCAGATTTGGTTTATTGACGTTATCAAAGTTTGACAGTTGTGAAGTTTCATCAGCCAATTTAAATTGCGGACACAACAAATTCGTTGCTTAAGAACTACGAGGTGATTATCCGAAAAATATCCGAAATAATACCCATCCACATGTCCCAAATTAAATCAAATGCATCGTTACTATTGGTCGAAATTGTAACAGGGGAGATAATCACTTATAATACCACAAAAGTTTCAAAATTATCGGGTATTTACCGATAGGTTCGTTGCAAACAAAGGAAGGACTCCAGTTTTTCAGACTAAAAAAGCAGGAACGCCAAGCTTCCGATAATTTTGAACTGTGTGGTATTCGAGGAATTACTTTTCCGGCCCGAATGTCGGCCAATGGGATTGCACCATGAGACGAAACTCACAGTTAAGAAATGAGAATTTCATATATGTTAGTCTCTCGTAGGGTTAATTTGAATGGATACTGTTTCGTTGTTTATAGAACAACTACCAGAGGGAATCAGCAAAAGAGCATCAGTATAAACTCATCTAGGTTGTACCACGTGACTTCGAATGGTGCAATTCTATTGGTCGATATTTGGGTCGGAAAAACCATCAACGAAATTCCATGCAAATTGATTTTTTTTTATCAAACGTTCGCCCGAATTATCATTGTCCTGCAACAAAATTTTCTAGTATTTGGACCTTCTTGATGTCCTGCCGTACCCCATCTACAGGTACATTGACCCATAATTGTAGTGCAATTAATGAAGACATTGAACTCATGCCAATTCGGCTATGAACGAAAAATTGCCAGTCAATAGCAAAATAATGTCCTCAACGATGTATTGAAATGTGAACATGAATATGTGTATGTTTATCATTATAATTAATGAAAAAAAAATTAAATCTTCAAAGTTTAACGCCAAAAATACTGAGAACCTATTCTTGAGCTGTATGAAGACTGATTTGTGTGTGGACACGCTTCTGTTTACGGATCACCTATAAGATTACAAAATGCAATCGGTGGACGGAGGCATGTTCACACACGAATCCGTCTACCCAACTGTATTCGCCTATAAGATTACCACGAGATTTCAGAAACCTTGAAAAAGGTGGATATATAAAAACTGGTGATTATTTGATACTTGTTATTGTTTAATCTTTATGAAGAGTTACCCCATCCACGCATTAACAGTGTTTTTTTTTTTCGTGCATATTAGAGTATTTAATATTACTTAAATGGAACATTTTTTTTCCATAAAAATTCGATATTTTGTTATCTGAATATATTTATTTCAACCACAGCGCATTGACCAGTGTTTTAAGCGCTGACTGTTGTAAATTTAATTTTTATTTGATTGATTTGAATTGAGTATTCGTTAATTAACATACGCAGTTGTATGATATATGATATAGACACCCATTTGGGTATGTTGTCCCGGATATTTTTCCGCATGGTTTGTTACGCAATTCCACTTTTTTAATCAATCATATTGACTTGAATATTTATCGTATAACTAAAATTTCATAAGTGATCGGAGAGTTTAAACATCAGGGTTTTGTAGCCAATGTACAAAAAAAAAACAGAAAACAAGAATCAGTCATACCAGAGATTAACTCAGAACGATCAATCGAAATTATAAATGATTCTACCAAGTGTTACTGCTAAGTAAAATTTAGTTATTATTGAAATTAAGACATAGAAGAGGAAATCAAACGTAATACGCTTTTAGAGTTCTATCTGGGACTTAGCAAAGTAATGGCAGAAGATGCTTTTGCTAATATCTCTGACATAGGTAGGCTCATTAAAAAACAACATTGACTTCCGTTTTTCATGAAAGCAATGAGGCCCATAGGAGATGACGTTTAAAATTTGTCTCCAAAGCTATTAACCGTCGAGATATTTGCAGAATAATCTATACTATTTTTTGGAACTTATCGTCTCGCTAATTATTATCGAGAATGATTTAAAAATCAATGGTTTAGAGATAAAAGGCATGATATGACTAGCGGAATGCTAGTTATCCCAACTGCCGGATGAGAAATGAAAGAGAGGAACAATGAAGAGGAATCAAAAGTTCGTTATATTACATCTCAGCGTTTCACTGTGCCATGTGGGACATTGAAGAGTTTATTCAGGGATAATTATTATCTGATTATTATTGTTATTCGGAGTGAAAAATAGGAGTTAAGTGGCTCGTGTGTGGTTAACCTGTAGGTCAATTTTAATTTTTCAACTTCTTATTGTAGCGGAAAACATGAAAATTGTGAAAATAATTTTCTCCTGGTTTAAGAGCAAAAAAAAATTACGTTATTATTGAAGCTTCCCAGTTAAATTCACACAGGGCGAACCGCCATAGTTTAATATACTATTAATCGTTCAGTTTTCAAACAGAAGCACAGGCAATAGGAAATGAGTCCAAATGTTTTGAGTAATTTATTTCATGAATATTGGGATACGAGTGGATCAGACAGCAACTTGCATAAAAAAGTCTCCCCTAAACTTGATGATTGCAGTAATACTCGCAAAAGAAGATAGCCAATATTTTTGAATTTGTTTGTTTATAAACAGGTTTCTCACAGATATTTGTATAGTAAACATCTTTGAAGATAAGAGATCTAGAAAAGAGACAAGGCAAATTTGATTACCTATTGAGTCCACTCGTTCCTGGAAAATATACAAAATAAACTTTGTAAAATGGAACAATTTTATTTTCATCGTTTTCTTTTCTGCTTTTCCCATTGGATTCCCTTGGAAATAATTGTTTCCTCAAAAATAACGAGAATTTAGTCCGCCGAGGTGATTTAGATGAAAAACGTAGAGAATAATTCTCTCTTAAACTGTGATACATCTGCACTCTATATGATACATCCGAGTTTATATTGTCACGGTTAATATAGACGTGCTTTCAATTTGAATTAACAGAGAAGTGGTAAAATATAATAAGTTAAATTTAAATGTTTAAATTTAAATTTGGTTGTAACTAACAAATTTCTATGACCAGTGACTCTTCCCTAACAGCAAGAAAAGTGTTCTTTACATTTTTAGTTCCAATGAAAAAATGTCGTACTCTATACTATGCCCAGAAATAAAAAATATTTGTGGAAATATCTAAAATGAATCCTAAAACCAAAATGTTTGTTGCAAAAATAGATGTGGTTATTTTCAAAAATTGATATCCAGTTTGCAAATGAGAAATCTCACGTGCGATAGTGCCGATTATTTCTACTATACTATCATATGACATTGATGTTTACTTGGCTTGTATGGTTGTTTCCTTCTTTATATAAAAAAATACTTCTTGGCGTCTACACTGAAACAAAAGCAATTAATTCTCCAATCTAATTATTATCACGAAACCAGAACAACTTTACAACTTTACAAGTAGTTATTGCCCATATGTTCACTTTGTTCCTGTTTTTTGGAAATTTGTGGAAACTCCTGGATCAGATTGATGTGAAAAAATATACCGTTTTTAGGTTTTATCATTATTCAATGAGTGACAAATTTTCACAGCCGTGTGTATGTTTTTCTAAGTTTCAGGGAAAGTTTCGTTAACTTATGTAAAAGTTTACTGAGAAGATAGAAAAATTCTTCTGCAGTGATGAGGCATTGAATAACAATGAAACTTAAAAGTATAGATTTATCTAGTTTTGGTAGATTTTTTTCCCGTTTGTTTTATTAACAATTTTTCAGAAATCTCCGAAAAACTTAAAAAGTGAGAAGATATCGGCAATAATTTCTTGAAGATATCCAAGTACTACTGATCATTTTTTCTGCGTAAACTCCGCTTCAGGCAATATAGAACAAGGTCCGATCTGTATTTTAAGCACAATTGCAAACAGAGTGTCCAACATTTTTTTACAAGAACAAATCCTTGAATAACATAATTTAACATGTAGTTTTCATTCCATTCCATTTCCATTTGTACATTTAATCATATATGCAATTATTCGTTAGATTCTTTAGTTTTTTTGATATATGGAAAAAAATGAGTTTCCGAACAAATAATGAAGAAATGTTGAATGGAAAATTTCCCTTTCCAGTTGGCTGTCATATTGAATGGTTTGAATACGCATATTTTTGACGTTTGGCAACGGTACGTTCGAGGAACTCCTTAGACCGATTACACGGAGAGAAAAATCCATGAATTTTTATGTGGTGATTCCGATAAAAATTACTGTGCTGCCTTACAATCTAGGTGTAAACTGCAGGCCTGAGAAAAATTACGATGCCATGCAGTAACATTTCTTCATCGGCCGAGCAAAACTTCGTTATCGGCCAAATAAAAATTCATAGTCGTCGCAACAGTTACCATTGTTAAATTCAACTTCGGCAAGAATCGGAAACATTCGACGTTTATCGCTAACCAATCCTATTGGGTTAAAAAATGTTTGGAGAAAATGCTGTGTAGCACAGTAAAAATTAAAAGAGAGCATAATAAAAAATACCGATCTGGATAGGAATTTTTGAAGGATTTCTATCAATTTTTCTTTCAAACTCAAACAAAGAATGATAGACCTTTAAATTTTAGAGTGCTGTTTAGTAAATTTTATGGAGCCACACATGATTAATTACGGAATGTATAAGAAAATTTGACATATTGATAGTAATTTTTATTTGGGAACCAAAGAAGTTTTTCTTGGACTTTTCTCTCCGTGTAGAGTAAATTATATACAAGACATGTACAAAGTTGCCAAACGATCATTCGAGTTAAGACCATTGAGAGTCAAATAAAAAATTGAACACAATATCGATAACAATACTCCTTAGATACCGTATTGAAAAAATGTATTTAACAATAAAAAATTCGGATACTTGAGAAAGTGGAAAAGTTTTGTCCGTCAAAACTAAAATTTTATGGCAAAAAAAGTTCCTACTTGGACCAATACTTGGATATCCTTAAGGATGGAGTATTCTCTATGTTATTTTGGCCCCTGAGACCGTTTTTGATTGTCAATTGGACTTAATATTAATAAACATAGAATTGGAAATACAAGAATTGTCAGGATAAATGATGTTGTGGTAATCTTCATCAGGACGGAAAAGGACATAAACGTATAAATTCTTTGATACACTGAACCAAATACCAATTTGACGTTATAGTTTTTTGCCAAGATCGGTTAGTTGTTTTGTAGGCAACGGGCAGTAGAATAAAATTCCTCATAATATTTGAAAAATGCTGAAAGAGCGTTTGTTGGATTGTTTGGCATCGGTTTGTATGTAACATACCAAAACATTTATATATTCTCTGTCCAATTCTCAGTTCTCAGGGAATTCATTTTCAATAAGAACAATAAAACCTTTTGTAAAATGAAATAGCAATGTACAGCGAAAAAATTGATATGGTATACTTTCAGACTGTTAGGGTGAGTTTGTTTTACTCGTAGGAAATTGGCATTCGAATCGAATGCAAGAAATAGCTGACCACTCCGAAAAACAAAATCACTCCAACGACCCAATGAGTATTTTTCTGTAGCGATTACAAGGTTTTTGAGTTTGAAAAGTTTGTAATACCAGTTCTATCGATTTTTGACAAGCTTTGCGGTATCAAAACAGAAAGTCCGCTTATGCAAAAAAAAATCCTTTTCTTTGTCTACTCTAATATATTACATATGTGGCATATTTCGTAGGTTCTCTTTAGTGGCGGAGGAAGGATGCACAGTTGAATCTTTTCTTCGATTTCTCGTCGTGGAATTTTTATACCGTAATTTTGGTTCTAAAAAATTTCAAATATGCACTTCCGGTAAAAATTTGGTCATTTCTTGGTACACAAATTTTCGCTGCTATAATAGC